TCTCTCTTTCTTCTGTCTCTTCAATTTATCAAGGGCTTATGGCATGGGAAACATATGTTAACATTGCCAAAGCAAGTGAAATAGATAATAAACAAAAGTGTAATAAACAATAAAAAATGAACAGTAAACATTAAACTCACAAAAGTTCCAAAGGAATAGAGACATTTGAAATGTCATATTATGGCTATATACTGTGTTTTAATAATGCCTCCCAAGTGGTGCAGTGGTCTATGGACCCGGGTTCAATCCCGGGCTGTGTCACAACTGACCATGGCCGGGAGTCCCATAGGACGGCGCACAATTCGTCCGGGTTAGGGGAGGGTTTGGCCGGGGGGGCTTTACTTGGCTCATCGCGCTCTAGCGACTCCTTGTGGCGGGCCGGGTGTCTGCAGGCTGACCCCGGTCACCAGTTGAACGGTGTTTCCTCCGACATATTGATGCGGCTGGCTTCCGGGTTAAGCTGGCGGGTGTTAAGGAGCGCAGTGCCTTAGACCCGCCAGCTTAGGCGGGTCATGTTTTGGAGGACGCATGACTCCACCTTCGCCTCTCCCGAGCCCGTTGGGGAGTTGCAGCGATGAGACAAGATTGAAATTGGGGAGAAAAAGGGGGTTAAGAAAAGTGAAAATAAATATGGGTTATATTTACAATGGTCTCTCTAGCTCTCAAGGTTTGTGCATGTAATGACTCACCTGTTGTTATGGGAATGCTAGCCATATGGGCTAATGGCCCATTGTGTATGATGCGTTTCTGGGAGGCAGAGAGGGGAGAGGTGGTCCCAGTCAACAGTCCCCCTCACCCTGTTGTGTACTGAAGCTGTGTTGGGAGGCAGAGGGGGGAGTAGAGGGTGGAGGCAAAGGGGAGATTAGAGGGTGGAGGCAGAGGGGGAGTAGAGGGTGGAGGTAGAGGGGAGAGTAGAGGGTGGAGGTAGAGGGGAGAGTAGAGGGTGGAGGCAGAGGGGGAGAGTAGAGGGTGGGAGGCAGAGGGGGAGTAGAGGGTGGAGGAGAGGGGAGATAGAGGTGGTGAGGCAGGGGAGAGTGGAGGCAGAGGGGAGAGAGGGGGGGAGGAGAGAGGGGGAGAGTAGAGGGTGGAGGCAGAGGGGAGAGTAGAGGGTGGAGGCAGAGGGGGGAGGGTGGGGTAGAGGGAGAGTAGAGGGTGGAGGTAGAGGGGGGAGGAGGGTAGAGGGGGTGGAGGGGAGAGGGGAGAGTAGAGGGTGGAGGAGAGAGGGGAGAGAGTAGAGGGTGGAGGCAAGGGGAGAGTAGAGGGTGGAGGGAGAGGGGAGGAGGGAGGGAGTAGAGGGTGGAGGCAGAGGGGGGATTAGAGGGTGGAGGCAGAGGGGAGAGTAGAGGGTGGAGGCAAGGGGGAGAGAGGGTGGAGGCAGAGGGGGAGAGTTTGAGGGTGGAGGCAGAGGGGGGAGTTTGAGGGTGGAGGCCAGAGGGGGAGTAGAGGGTGGAGGCAGAGGGGGAGTAGAGGGTGGAGGCAAGGAGGGAGATTAGAGGGTGGAGGCAGAGGGGGAGGGAGTAGAGGGTGGAGGCAGAGGGGAGAGTAGAGGGTGGAGGCAGAGGGGAGATTAGAGGGTGGAGGCAGAGGGGAGGATTAGAGGGTGGAGGCAGAGGGGAGAGTAGAGGGGTGGAGGCAGAGGGGGAGTAGAGGGGGGAGGCAGAGGGGGGAGTAGAGGGGTGGAGGCAGAGGGGAGATTAGAGGGTGGAGGCAGAGGGGAGAGTAGAGGGTGGAGGCAGAGGGGGGAGAGTAGAGGGGTGGAGGCAGAGGGGAGAGTAGAGGGTGGAGGCAGAGGGGGGAGTAGAGGGTGGAGGCAGAGGGGGAGTAGAGGGTGGAGGCAGGGGGGGGAGTAGAGGGTGGAGGCAGAGGGGAGAGTCGAGGGTGGAGGTAGAGGGGAGTAGAGAGTGGAGGTAGAGGGGAGAGTAGAGGGTGGAGGCAGAGGGGGAGTAGAGGGTGGAGGCAGAGGGGGAGTAGAGGGTGGAGGCAGAGGGGAGAGTAGAGGGTGGAGGTAGAGGGGAGTAGAGAGTGGAGGTAGAGGGGGGGGGGGGGTGGAGGCAGAGGGGGAGTAGAGGGTGGAGGCAGAGGGGGGGAGGTGTGGGGCTCGTATTATTGCCTCTCCCATATTGTCAGACCATGGCTAGGTCCAGAGCCAGAAATGGTCCCCAATAAGACCCTCCCTGAAACAGCTGTGCTATTCAGTAGGGTTATACTGTTACACTTACATCCACACAGGTCACAGGGTGCACTGGTGAGAACACACAGACACACACACACGCACATGCACACACACACGCACGCACAACACACACACACTAACGTGTGCTCGGTCAAACACATTCAACTAAAACCTCCATGCCACCATTGAGTTCCACAACTGCAGTATGTCAGTATTCCATTATGGCTGTGTAGGATTATCCAAGGACAACACTACACTACCCCGTCAGCAGCCAATGATGCATCCCAAATGGCACCCTGGACCCTTTATAGTGCACTACTTTTGACCAGGGCCCAGCTCCAGCCAGGAGAATAGACCGTGTGCTGCTGTGAGGAAGATGATGATGATGATGATGATGATAATGGGAATTCCATTTGGCCCTGAGTGATTTAGCCTCCTCATCTTTCAAAAATACTTCCCGTCTGTCTTTGTCTGGCAGCCGGTCTCTGCATAGACCGATACATATAGTCAACAACACACATCTCAGAGTGTGAGAGTGAGAGAGTGTGAGAGTGTGAGAGAGAGAGAGAGAGTGTGAGAGAGAGAGAGTGTGAGAGAGAGAGAGAGAGAGAGAGAGAGAGAGGGACAGAGAGAGAGAGAGAGCTGACAGACCGAGCAGTCAGAAACGAATTGTATTACTATTGACGGGAAAGATAGAACACTGTGAATTGATGGTAGTATGCTGATAGTATGGATATGCTCATGGCTGTTATTATGGCCTTCTTTAGTCTGTCTGTTCCAAGACCAGAGTTGAAAGATTTTTCTAAGCAGAGTTCTAAGTTCTAAGAGGTTGAAGTTCCAAGACATTCTAGAAGCCATTTTAGAAGTAAGAGAGCGATGGAGGAAACAAAAATGGCGTAAACTCTAGTCTAAGTTGTCAGTTATCACTAGATGCCCAGTTCACCACCAGTGTTGGGATTAGTTACTGGTGTTGGGATTAGGTATTACATATTACTTGCTACATTAAAGTAACATGTTACCTTAAAATATTACTTTGTGTGGAAAGTAATGTGATTACTAGTTATATTACTTTGCACTATTTTCATGAAGAAAATCTAAAAATCAGTTGGAGGGAGCAAGGTGAGGCGCTGTACCAAAGACAGGCCACTTACTAACTCAGGCTGGATCACTAGTGTCTCCTTTCCTCTGTGGCGCTGCTTTCCTGTGCTAGTCTACAAGTGCTGCGCTATGGGCTGCTTAATTAGCAATATATACTGAAAGTCAAACGTACAGATTTCCTATCTTTTCATTCAAAATCCTAAAAGATGTATAGAGGGCACACTTTTCTACAGTCCCGTGTGGCTCAGTTGTTAGAGCATGGTGCTTGCAATGCTAGGGTTGTGGGTTCGATTCCCACGGGGGACCAATACAAAAAAAAGTATTAAAATCTATGCACCCATTACTGTAAGTCGCTCTGGGTAAGAGCGTCTGCTAAGTGATGTAAATGTAGATGCAATCAATGGCAAAGATCAGAGGTACGCCCTCTATACATTTCTACAGACAGTAGCTGTCATGACATTTCTTCAAACCGCCTTTGTGTTCTCGCTCGAGAACTAAATGAGGAAACAAGTTGAGATTGGATCATGGAAACACGCCCGTTAGAGAGATAATCCTAAATGCATTGTTTGACAAAGTAACTGCAATCATTTGAAAAAGTAACACGTTACTCATAAACGTAATCTGATTATCTAACGGGTTACTTTTGTAATGCGTTACCCCCAACACTGTTCACCACTGTGTCACAGAGCTGCTAGATAATAGGCCCAGTGTCTGTGTGGTTGGTTCTTGCTGGTACCAAACAGTCCCATGGTTAGTACCCAGACAATGGCTGGGATTCTCTGTAGGCCAGAGTCTGGATGAGCGAGCGCCCACAACCCAGGGAATGACTGGCCTCTGGAACATTACAGGGCATGGGCGTCAGATATGGCCCTCACACAGGGAGGGGTCTGTGTGGCCGGGTCTGGGGGGTGGGCAGGGGGTGACACTGCCACAAAGATCTGTCTGTCCTCCTCTGGAGCACAGAATGTGAGCGTCATCAGTCGTTGCTGGGGGAGAGAGGGATGGAGAGATGGAGGGAAAGAGAGAGGGGGAAGTACAGAGGAGTAATGTTGCCATCACTCCATTCTCATTTGGATGGGTTTGGGACAGAGGCTGAGAGCGAGAGTGAGGCGAAAGGATAGATGCAGGACACAGGTCATCACCGTGCCACTGACAGATAGAATAGGACGCAGCAAGGGGACAGGAGGACTGAGGCTGTGATGCCAGACTCTGCTTCTGACTGAAAGAGAGGGGACCTTAGGGCAGGGGTAGGCAACTAGATTCAGTGTATCACATCTCATTTTTCATTTGTGGGTGTACTTCAACTCATTTTTTGCTGAATTCGTGGTGATTTTACAGTATATCTTCTTTTTATTACCCCCCCCCCCCCCCCCCAAAAAAAAATAATAATATATTTTTGGACCATGGCTTTTGCTCCCATTTTTGTGTCATATCAAAACAAGTCAACCTGGCGAAGATTGGGTCATAGAGGATACTTGACCCATTGCAAGATGAATGGCTTATATCACATCTATTCCAGTACATGACGGTGGTGTGTATTTGGCCAGATTACATTTCTCTGGGCCTTGGAATGGAGAGTCATTGTCAGAAATAAACCAATGATGAATAACAGTTGTGTCGTAAGGTCATTCTCTAAAATCTCTGTTTTTTTTATTTTTTTTATCTGTCTCCCAAGTCCAATTCCTGAAATCCACAGAACTCGGCCGCCAGAGTCTTCTGTACCTGAAAGAGATAGGCAATGGCTGGTTCGGAAAGGTAAGACCACTCACTCCCTCCTCACTTCTACTCGTCAATTCTTTTTGGGTGTATTTTACGGGTTATTTTCACTGTGCTGGAGGCCACTGTACTGAGTTATGAGAGGTAGCTAGATGAAATGTTCTGTCAACTTTGGCAGGGTCACGGTTGTTATGTGCTGAGCTGTGATCCCAGGCGTGTTTAGGAGTCCGCCTGTTTAAATGGCTGACACGCTGCATTACCTGGAATGTGTGTGTAACGGTACTGCTGGGGCTGATCCCCATGCCTTTGATGTCTACCTGACTGACTGACACGCTGCCTGGTACAGAGAGGTTATTAGCAGCGCTATTTAGTGGTTTAGGGCAAGGGCAAAATGCAATTATTGACAGTGAAAAAGGTGGGACTGTTCCCTCGTCATATAATTGGTACATTTACTATCAATATAGCATTACAAATTGTTTTACAGATTGCATTTTGGCAACAACAAAAAAATCTTGATGCGAATATTGGATCGCGATTGAAACAACCTGGTTCAATTTGGGTCCAGAGGCAAAACCAGTTGAGAACCACAGAAGTAAAGTGTTATCACAAGGTCTTCCATGCAAGCGTCTTACTCTGTTGGGTTGGGAATTAGCTACTGTAACACTAGATAACTGATTCTTGTCATTCTCTCATTCCCTCCCGCTCTCTGTTTCTTTGTCTGTTTCTTCTCACACTCATGCACACACACTTTCCCCACACTTGTGTACCTTGACTGGGGTATGTCCATTCGTGTGCGTGTGTGTGTGTCTCTGTGACCGCATGCATACCTCTCTGCATACCTCTCTGCATACCTCTGTATCTCCTGGTCTGTCTCTTGTTGGTCTCTTTATGAATCTGCATGTCCTGTGTATGCCTCTCTGTCTATCTCTCTATTTCCTGTGTATGCCTCTCTGTGTATCTCTCTATTTCCTGTGTATGCCTCTCTGTCTCTGTGTATCTCTCTATTTCCTGTGTATGCCTCTCTGTCTCTGTGTATCTCTCTATTTCCTGTGCATCTCTCTATTTCCTTGCATTTGTGTGACTGTCTACCTTTCACCTGAATGTGTGCGTATCCTCCTCAACCATGTTTGTCCTCCACAATCATCACCTCCGCGTGTGTTTGTACTGTTTGGGAATAATTTTTTGTGTGCCTTTCCTCTGTCTGTGTCTCCTCTCTCTCTCTGTCTGTGTCTCTCTGTCTGTGTCTCTGTCTTCCATTCCTCCCCATCTCTGTGTGTCTCCCCTGTGTGTGTGTCTGCATTGCTCCCATACCAGGTTCTCCTGGGGGAGGTGAATGCGGGCCTCAGCACCACCCAGGTGGTGGTTAAGGAGCTGAAGGCCAGTGCCAGTGTTCAGGACCAGATGCACTTCCTGGAGGAGGTCCAGCAATACCGGTGAGAGATGTCTCTTTCATCCTTTTAGATCCTTTATTATGACTAAACTCTCTTTGTTCAGTCTCATTATAATGTTAATCTCCCTTTGTTCAGTTTCAATTTCATTATAGTGTTAACCTCCCTTTGTTCAGTTTCAGTTTCATTATAGTGTTAACCTCCCTTTGTTCAGTTTCAGTTTTATTAGTGTTAACCTCCCTTTGTTCAGTTTCAGTTTCATTAGTGTTAACCTCCCTATGTTCCATTTCAGTTTCATTAGTGTTAACCTCCCTTGTTTCAGTATAGTGTTAGCCTCCATTTGTTCAGTTTCATTATAGTGTTAACCTCCCTTTGTTCAGTTTCAGTTTCATTATAGTGTTAACCTCCCTATGTTCCATTTCAGTTTCATTAGTGTTAACCTCCCTATGTTCCATTTCAGTTTCATTAGTGTTAACCTCCCTTGTTTCAGTATAGTGTTAGCCTCCATTTGTTCAGTTTCATTATAGTGTTAACCTCCCTTTGTTCAGTTTCAGTTTCATTATAGTGTTAATCTCCCTTTGTTCAGTTTCAGTCTCATTATAGTGTTAATCTCCCTTTGTTCAGTTTCAGTCTCATTATAGTGTTAACCTCCTTTTGTTCAGTCTCATTATAGTGTTAACCTCCTTTTGTTCAGTTTCGATTACATTGTAGTGTTAACCTCCCTTTGTTCAGTTTCAGTTTCATTATAGTGTTAATCTCCCTTTGTTCAGTTTCAGTCTCATTATAGTGTTAACCTCCCTTTGTTCAGTTTCAGTCTCATTGTAGTGTTAATCTCCCTTTGTTCATTTTCAGTCTCATAGTGTTAACCTCCTTTTGTTCAGTTTCATTATAGTATTAATAACCACCCTTTTTTCACTTTCAATTACATTATAGTGTTAACCTCCCTTTGTTCAGTTTCAGTTTTATTAGTGTTAACCTCCCTATGTTCCATTTCAGTTTCATTAGTGTTAACCTCCCTTGTTTCAGTATAGTGTTAGCCTCCATTTGTTCAGTTTCATTGTAGTGTTAACCTCCCTTTGTTCAGTTTCAGTTTCATTATAGTGTTAATCTCCCTTTGTTCAGTTTCAGTCTCATTATAGTGTTAATCTCCCTTTGTTCAGTTTCAGTCTCATTATAGTGTTAATCTCCCTTTGTTCAGTTTCAGTCTCATTGTAGTGTTAATCTCCCTTTGTTCAGTTTCAGTCTCATTGTAGTGTTAATCTCCCTTTGTTCATTTTCAGTCTCATAGTGTTAACCTCCTTTTGTTCAGTTTCATTATAGTATTAATAACCACCCTTTTTTCACTTTCAATTACATTGTAGTGTTAACCTCCCTTTGTTCAGTTTCATTGTAGTGTTAATCAGCATTGAAACTGGTTCGTAATTTGTATAACTCAAACCCCAGAGTTGATTGAAGGCCAAGTCCTGTCACTTTAGTTGTTATGACAGTGCTTTCTGCCTCTACTAACTCTCTGCCATTGTGACAGTGCTTTCTGTCTCCACTAACTCTCTGCCATTGTGACAGTGCTTTCTGTCTCCACTAACTCTCTGCCATTGTGACAGTGCTTTCTGTCTCCACTAACTCTCTGCCATTGTGCCCTTCTGTCTCCAGTGCCCTCCAGCACCCAGCCCTCCTACATTGCCTGGCGCAGTGCACTGAGGTCACCCCCTACCTGCTTATCATGGAGTTCTGCTCTCTGGTGAGTACTGGACTGGATTGGACTGTCATTTGCACCACTGTATATAGACCTATCTGTCTGTGGCCATTGCAGTCAGTAGCCTGCTGGACTAGCTGGAGTCCAATTTCTACAGGATCTCTCTATGACCGCTGCAGACAGTGTACAGTTTGACAATCATCATGGACTGGACTGGACTGAACTGTCACTGCACCACTGTGTCTCTCTGTCTCCGGACATTGTAGTCAGTCTAAGACAGGGTTTCCCTAGCACTACACATCTGATTCATTAATCAAAGCTTGATGATGAGTTGGTTATTTGAATCAGCTGTGTAGTGCTAGGGCGAAAAACAAAACGTGCACGGGGGGGGGGGGGGGGGGGGGGCGATAGATTATATTTGGATGCATTCGACTGCCCCCCAGTGGCCAGATATTGTATTGCTGGCTGAGTGGGCAATCTGAGGGGAGATCTACATTTTTTACATTTGAGTTATTTAACAGAAGCTCTTATCCAGATACATTTTTGTACTGGTCCCCCGTGGGAATTGAACCCACAACCCTGGCGATGCAAGCGCCATGCTCTACAAACTGAGCTACACGGGACTACCTACCTACACTCATTGACAGGACATTTCACTTCCAGAAAGTCCTTCAGACTACAGTACCTTGTGAGCTAATTGTACTGTAACTACTTGTGTAAGCATCATCCTTTATTCACTATAACTGTGTCAATATCTATTATATCTCTAATATATCCACCTGGGTGGGGGTCAATTCCATTTAAATTCCAGTCAATTCAGGAAGTACACTGAAATTCCAATTCTCTTCAATGCTTTTTAATTAGACAAATGTGGAATTATATTTTTGTTTACTTTCTGAATTGACTGGCATTTTTATGGAATTGACCCCAACTCTGATCACCACCATATCTCCTCCATGTCACCAGGGTGATGTGAAAGGGTACCTGCGGAGCTGTCGGGCTGCAGACACAATGACCCCTGAACCCCTGATCCTGCAGAGGATGGCCTGTGAGATCGCCTCAGGACTCCTGCACCTGCACAAACACAACTTCATACACAGGTGCGTGTCACTCCCTCCCTCTGTCTCTGCCACTATCTGTCGATTGATTGATTTCCATTCGTCAGTAAAACAACAACATATACATACAACAAACGTGACCAGGAAGTCAGAGACTCATTTTAGTTGTGGTCCCTATCCCTAGTGTATATATCTATATATACACGGTACCAGTCAAAAGTTTGGACACACCTACTCATTCAAGGGTTTTTCTTTATTTTTACTATTTTCTACATTGTAGAATAATAGTGAAGACATCAAAATTATGAAATAACACACATGGAATCATGTAGTAAAAAAAAAAAGTGTTAAACAAATCTAAATATATTGTATATTTGAGATTCTTCAAAGTAGCAATCCTTTGCCTTGATGACAGCTTTGCACACTCTTGGCATTCTCCCAACCAGCTTCATGAGGTAGTCACCTTGAATGCATTTAAATTAACAGGTGTGCCTTCTTAAAAGTGAAATTGTGGAATATCTTTCCTTTTTAATGTGTTTGAGCCAATCAGTTGTAGGGGTGGTATAGACCAAGTCCATATTATGGCAAGAACAGCTCAAATAAGCAAAGAGAAACAACAGTCCATCATTACTTTAAGAGATGAAGGTCAGTTAATCCAGAACATTTCAAGAACTTTGAAAGTTTCTTCAAGTGCAGTTGCAAAAACCTTCAAGTGCTATGATGAAACTGGCTCTCATGAGGACCGCCACAGGAAAGGAAGACCCAGAGTTACCTCTGCTGCAGAGGATAAGTTCATTAGAGTTACCATCCTCAGAAATCGGCAATTAACAGCACCTCAGAATGCAGCCCAAATAAATGCTTCACGGAGTTCAAGTAACAGTCACATCTCAACATCAACTGTTCAGAGGAGACTGCCTGAAATCAGGCCTTCATGGTCGAATTGCTGCAAAGAAACCACTACTAAAGGACACCAATAATAAGAAGAGACTTGATTGGGCCAAGAAACACGAGCAATGGACATTAGAAAGGTGGAAATCGGTCCTTGGGTCTGATGAGGCCAAATTTGAGATTTTTGGTTCCAACCGCCGTGTCTTTGTGAGACGCAGAGTAGGTGAATGGATTATCTCTGCTTATGTGCTTCCCACCATGAAGCATGGACGAGGAAGTGTGATGGTGTTTTGCTGGTGACACTGTCTGTGATGTATTTAGAATTCAAGGCACACTTAACCAGCATGGCTACCACAGCATTCTGCAGCGATACGCAATCCCATCTGGTTTGCGCTTAGTGGGACTATCATTTGTTTTTCAACAGGACAATGACCCAAAACACACCTCCAGGCTGTGTAAGGGCTATTTGACCAAGAAGGAGAGTGATGGAGTGCTGCATCAGATGACCTGGCCTCCACAATCACCCGACCTCAACCCAATTGAGATGGTTTGGGATGAGTTGGACCGCAGAGTGAAGGAAAAGCATTCCAGGTGACTACCTCATGAAGCTGGTTGAGAGAATGCCAAGAGTGTGCAAAGCTGTCATCAAGGCAAAGGGTGGCTACTTTGAAGAATCTCAAATATAAAATATAGTTTTATTTGATTCCATAAGTGAAAATAGTAAAAATAAAGAAAAGCCTTGAATGAGTAGATGTTTTAAAACGTTTGACCGGTAGTATATATATATATATATATATATATATATATATATATATATATATATATACACACAGTACCAGTCAAAAGTTTGGGAACACCTACTCATTCAAGGGTTTTTCTTAATTTTTACTATTTTTTACATTGTAGAATAATAGTGAAGACATCAAAACTATGAAATAACACATATGGAATCATGTAGTAACCAGAAAAGTGTTAAACATTTGAGATTCTTCAAATAGCCACCTTTGCCTTGATGACAGCTTTGCACACTCTTGGCATTCACTCAACCAGCTTCATGAGGTAGTCACCTGGAATGCTTTCCCAACATTCTTGAAGGAGTTCCCACATATGCTGAGCACTTGTTGGCTGCTTTCCAAATAAAGAAAAACCCTTGAATGAGTAGGTGTGTCCAAACTTTTGACTGGTACTATATATACACAGACACAAGTTGTACCTATACACTACAAACCACTCAATGGCATTGTAATGATATTACCCTGAAGACTGGTACCCAGTAGTCACGCGCTGCCAGACCACACCGTATTCCTTGTTTTGGAGAAACCTATAATGGCTGCAGTTTAGGTTAGTTGACCAGAATTCTGCAGCTGTGACTGGTTGGCTCTTCTTCCAGGTTCCTGTTGGTTCCTTCCTGTAACAATATCCTGGTGCTGCCTGAGTGCCTCTTCATAAACTCCAGCATCAGTGATTTTGTTGCAGGGGGGGGACCCCTTCTCTCCAGAATGACCCCTGCTCTTCCTTTCACTGATGTCTACAACATCCACTTAATGAAGAATGAGGTCCTGTATGGCTCAATTGGTAGAGCATGGCGGTTGCTATGCCAGGATAGTGGGGTCGATTCCCAGGGCCGCCGATATGTAAAATATATGCATGGAGGATTGTAAGTTACGTCTGCTAAATGGTATACAGTGCCTTCAGAAAGTATTCAGATCCTTTGACTTTTTCCACATTTTCAGCCTTATTCTAAAATGGATTACATTTGTTTTTTCCCTCATTAATCTACACACAATACCCCATAATGACAAAGCAAAAACAGGTTTTTAGAAATTGTTACTAATTTATAAAAAATAAAAAAACTTAAATATCACATTTACATAAGTATTCAGACCCTTTACTCAGTACTTTGTTGAAGCGCCTTTGGCAGTGATTACAGCCTCTAGTCTTCTTGGGAATGACGCTACAAGCTTGGCACACCTGTATTTGGGGAGTTTCTCCCATTCTTCTCCACAGAGGAACTCTGGAGCGCTGTCAGAGTGACCATCGGGTTCTTGGTCACCTCCCTGACCAAGGACCTTCTCCCCCGATTGCTCAGTTTGGCCAGGCGGCCAGCTCTAGGAAGAGTATTGGTGGTTCCAAACTTCTTCCATTTAAGAATGATGGAGGCCACTGTGTTCTTGGGGACCTTCAATGCTGCAGAATGTTTTTGGTACCCTTCCCCAGATCTGTGCCTCGACACAATCCTCTCTCGGAGCTCTACAGACAATTCCTTTGACCTCATTGGTTGGTTTTTGGGGTATTGTGTGTAGATTGCTGAGGATTCTTATGTATTCAATCCATTTTAGAAAAAGGCTGTAACGTAACAAAATGTGGAAAAAGTCAATGGGTCTGAATAATTTCCGAAGGCACTGTATATCATTATTAGGAAGGGTTTAAATTGATTAGTAATGCTGTACAACATTTATTGACTGAAGTTCTGGAAGACTTTTAGTACAGTATTGAACATGTCAGACTGTCCATGGTCTCACCATGTTAATTGGACTGCTATGCATTTACATCAATCAGTTATCATCTAATGTACAAATGTGTTCTCTGTCTTCCCTGCAGTGACCTGGCCCTGAGAAACTGCCTGCTGACCGCTGATGTCACAGTGAAGATTGGAGACTACGGCCTGTCACACAACAAGTACAAAGATGACTACTTTGAGACATCAGACCAGATGTATGTGCCTCTGCGTTGGATCGCTCCAGAACTCATAGATGAAGTCCATGGCAACCTTCTGGTGGTGGACCAGAGCAAACAGAGCAACGTCTGGTAATTAAAGATTTAATTAATCAATCAATCAATCAGCATATGTAGTCCAACCTTCTGGTGGAGAGAGCTCAGCTGGTAGAGCATGGCGCTTGCAATGCTTCGATAGTGGGTTCCATTCTTGGGACCATGGTAGAGATAGCATTCAGAACCCAATTATGTAGTATTACAATTTCAACCCTATGGGCCGGTTTCCCTGACCCACATTCTGCCATATCCTGGACTAAGAACAACCTCAATGCTTTTTAGTCCAGGACTTGGCTAAATCAATGTCCAGAAAACCGTCCCTATCTGGAAACCGACCCCATAAAATCTGTGAACGTAATTAGGGGTTCACAGCAAAGCTGTGAAACCTATTGTTATTCTTAGATTTCAGTAAAATAACTGAAGCATATATTACTAAGGATTGGTCAATAGAAGGCTGAGTTATTGACTAATCAAAAATCTGATTTTACGTGTCCATTTAAACCACTGTAAATCCACTCTGATCTTGTGTCCTATCGGTCGTCCTGTGAACCCCGTTCATTGCTTCTCGCAGCTATATTTGCCAAATGTTTTTCCCAATAAATATAGGTTGTTATGCTTCACACGTATTGTTCTTCTGCGGTCTTTATTTTCTCTCTCAGGTCTCTGGGGGTTACTATCTGGGAGTTATTTGAGTTGGGGAACCAGCCGTACAGACACTACTCTGACAGACAGGTCCTGACCTACGCCGTGAGGGAACATCAGCTCAGACTGCCCAAGCCTCTGCTCAAAATACCCCTGGCAGAGCGCTGGTGATTCACACACACACACACACACACACACACACACACACACACACACACACACACACACACAAGGGAAGCAACACAGTGGCACACACACACACAACAACACAAGCACTCTTACTGTTTCTCGTTCTGGGGTTCTTGCTCTGTGTCTCATCAATATCTTCTCATTCTAGTGGCTCGTTGAGACAGACATCATATGCTTCGTCTCAAATGGCACCCTATTCCCTATCCAGTGCACTATGGGCTCTGGTCAAAAGTAGCAAAATAAATAAATAAATATGACTGATGTGATGCATAAAACAAAAACAAAATGGATCCAATCTCATTATCTCTAAAGATAATTATCTCTCATAGGATGAGAACATGCTTGATTCCTCATCTCCTCAATGGATTCCAATAAAAATGCAGATGCTGTATTGGTGGTTTTCATTTCTTTCCTATTTTATTTGCGTCCCAAATGGAATGCTATTCCCAAATGCACCACAGCTGATAGATTCATTTGTGGTTCATTATATCTTCCTACATGTATCCCATGGTTGTTGTAGTGATTCTTGTGACGTGTGATATGTGCCCTCTTGTCCCCAGGTATGAGGTGATGCAGTTCTGCTGGCTCCAACCAGACCAGAGGCCCAATACAGAGGAGGTCCACCTGTTGCTCAGCTACCTGTGTGCCAAGGGGGTCAGCGAGGCCGAGGAGGACTTTGAGAGGCGCTGGAACTCCCTGCGTCCCAACCCCAACCCCAACGCTGGCCCCAGCAGCAGCCTCCACCATGGGGCCGGAGCCCTGGCCACTGGTACGACATGTTTAGGGCCACTTTTCATGGCTTTTTTGTCCGCTGCTGTTTCAAAAGAGAATCTGCTCACTGCCCTTTTCAGTGTCACTTTAGTTTATTAATGGGAAACTTCACCGCTAGTCACTATTAAGGGTGTTTTCCCAGTCTCCCTACATCATTTTGTTTGATGAGAGGGTGTTTCAGACATAATTATGCACTATAGCAGCATTATTTATATTTTTGCCCCAGGAGAGCCTGTTGTCTGATAAAAAATGAAAGGAGTCACGTTTTGTAGCAACTATTGTGGCCTTTGTGTTTTGCCGATTGCATGATCACACTAGCAGTGAGTAGACATGGTTGTCCTTGTTCAATAGAACCATTTGACATGTCTCAACAATGTTCCTATCTGCCAGGACATTGCAAGATATCTTGGTTGACTCATTTCCCCTGGCTTTGTAAAGACTACAGCCTGACGGGAGCCCTACTTCCTTACTTGTCCAATTGTTTTCCCACCCTCGAAGGCGTCCTGAAATTGCTATGAATTCTGGATATTGTGGTTTGTTTACAACCAGGAAATGTACCGGTGAGATGCAGAAATGCTCGTATTTGCATGTTGTGCAAAATTCTAGATTTTTATGACACATATTATACTGTATGTTTATAACATATTAATGGATATATAGTGAAAGAGCAGCAGTAAAATTTTGCTTTAAGCTCTGCTGCTGTTTGATATGAAATGTCCCCTTGGGAATTAACAAAGTATCTATCTATCTATCTATCTATCTATCTATCTATCTATCCATCCGTCTATCTATCCATCCGTCTATCTATCCATCCGTCTATCTATCTATCCGTCTGTCTCTCTGTCTGTCTCTCTGTCTGTCTCCAGATCTCCCCACCTCGTCCTTCCCCCTGCTGGAGCAGTTCTCTGGATGTGACGGTTACCACAGCGAATCAGGAGATGATATACTGACCGTGACAGAGACCAGCCACGGTCTGAACTTCCAGTACAAGTGGGAGCAGACCCAGGCGGGGGTCGGGGTGGAGCAGCCTTACCACCACGCTGCCTCGTCCTCCAGCGGTACACTGGGGGCTGTCAACCACCACTGCCAGGACCTGTACTACCCAGGGGGGATGGTGGGGGGCTGTGGTGGGGTGGAGACGGAGGGGCTCACTCTGGGGGTGTCGCCTTCCTACTATGAGCACAAGACGCTGCTTGTTTCTGGGCTCGGGGTGGTGCCGGTGCTCAGCGCCCGTAGTCCTTCACTGAGCTCTGAGTACTATATCCGCGTGGAGGAGCCTGGCGTGGACTATACCATGTGCTCCTACAGCCCAGACTACCAGGGCAGCAACGGGAGCTTCCTGACTGGGAGTGGCAGTGCAGACTCAGGGGAGTGTATGATTGGGATGGGTGCCTGTCCCCCCCAGGCCCACTCCAAGCCTGTAGACTCCTACTGGTCGGCAGATGTCTGTAAAGCTGAGGGTGTTGGAGCATATGACTCGGACATCTCCCTGACCATGGAGCCCCTACTGGGGCAAGTCTCTGACTACAGCCCCCTGAGACCCTGGGAGACTGGTCACTACGTCTCCTACAAGGACTGGGACGGGGGGTTCTACTACGAACACTCACCCCCTATAGGAATAGGCCACCACATGGGTCTGGGTCTGGACCAGCACTACCTTATGGGGCGGGAACACTCTCCCCCCGAGCCCCACCAGGAGAGCTGGGGGTCCCGTAGCCTGCGTCAGGCCCTGGGGGAACTGGACAACCCCCTGGGGATATCACCTTCCATCAGCACCCCTCCCCAGGGTGGTTGTCCTCCTTTTGGGGTAGGGGACCCCTACATGGAGACGACCCAGGGCCCAGGCTCCATAATCGGGGGGAGTAGCGTCACTGGCGGCTACTATGACATGATGGGTTCTCTGAGGAAAACCATGCCGACCATGCCAGGCCATGCCCACTCAGTCAGCTTCACCATGGCGTCGGAAGAGGCCCTCTTCACCTGTCATCGGGACAGAGACTTGGATGAAGAAGAGGATATATTCTCTGAGAGGCAGAGGAGCAGCAGTAGTAACCTCTCCAACCCCTCCACTAACAACAACAGTCTAGGCCTGGGTCTAAGCCTTGACCGTAGTAGACAGGCTGGCTGTAGACAACAACAGGATGCCTATGAAGACTTCCACTACACTATGCCCACTACCGACATAGAGGACTCGTGGCCTGAGGAGCACAACCTGACCTCCCGCTCCTCTGTCTCTGCTGCAGTTAAACCCATAGACTACCTGGAGGCTACGGTGGCTTCGGCTAAAGACAGCGGCTGTCTAGTCCTGGGGAAGCATCGTGCCCTGGTCCCCGCAGGGGACACCTGCAATGCCTATGTCTATTTGTGCCACGAGGGGGACGGGGAGAGGGAGGTAGAGCCGCCACCCATCAAGTGCTGCCACTCTCATTTCGTCGACCCCCTCACAGGCTTAGTGGTGCGGAACTACACCCGGGACGACTACAGAGATAAGATTGCAGAGATACCCAACAACGAGGAAGAGAGTGTGAATCTGTCGCCAGCACCGGGAGGTCCTAAACCAATCCTGACGCACAACACTTACACCAACACAACCCCTCTAGGCCACTCTGAGCAGTATGTTGACATCACTATGGACGATACCCTTTCCATAGACCACAAGGAAGAGGTTAGTACGGAAGACAAAGGGGTTCTCACAGACCCTAAACCAGAGGATGTGACTCTGACTAAAACTATGATTTCCCCCCTCTCCTCAGTGAATGTTCCTGGCCTAGTCCCCCTGGTCGAGCCAGAGTCAGAGCTGAGACATACGTTAGACAGCGGCCTAGACAGAGACCACTGCTCCAGCATCAGTCTAGTGGACATCTCCGACTGCTGCACCGACGACGATGAAGACGATGACATCACCGACGCGACCTCAGAGATCTTCGCCGATGAGGCGTCGGTTGGGGACCCAAACACCTCCCCGTCCCTGGCCCGTCCCCTCAAGTCCCTGCAGAAGCAGGTGGGAACCCCCGATTCCATGGCCTCCATGGACTCCATGGACCTGATGCCTTCAGCGGTCGGCTCCACCTGCGAGGCTTTCAGCCCCGCCTCCAGTTCCTCCCACCCATCTAGCTCCTCCCCCAAGGCAATGGACAGCGGGTACGACACAGAGAACAATGAGAGCCCAGAGTTTGTCCCCAAGGAGCCCCACAACGAGCCTCGGGACACAGAGACATTCACCCAGCCACTTGGGGAGTCCATCCTGGAAACCAGCCTGGATGAGGAGGGGGAGGAAGGGGGAGAGGAGGCCGAGGTGGCCCCACTGGAGGATGAGGATGAACCTACCCTGGATGAAGATGTGGCTCTAGCAGCCTCACAGACCACAGACAAAGAGAAGGAGCTGACCCCACTCAGTGAGAAGAACCCTTACAGGGACTCTGCCTACTTCTCTGACTATGAGAACGAGCGCCTATCCAGGGGTGAGGAGGACGACAAAGTGGGGGGTGATGAAAATGTAGGAGTGGAGGAGGGAGAAGAGGACAAGAGGCTGACAGAGAAGAGGGAACTCAGCCCTCTTCAGATAGAGGAGGAAGAAGAGGAGGGAGAGGAGACCTCAGCTCTTCTTCTGGAGGAGAGTGAAGACCCAGAGATGGAAGGATGCCTGACGGAAGAGTGCACCCAGGATGAAGGGCTAGAGCTGGCCTCCAATCTCTCTGGAGAAGTAGAGTCAGGGTCGGAGGGATGGCCTGCCCAGGAGGAACTCTCTTCCCTGGGAGACTGGGCAGCAGAGGTGGTGGGGGCTATGGATGATGCCCTGGGTGAACTCCAGAGGAGCAGCAGTACTGAAACCAACTCTGGTACCAAGGAGGAGGAGGAAGAGGATGAAGGAGAGCAAAGGGACTCATCTGAAGCGTTAGAAACAGCAGACATCCTAGAAGAATCATCTATCAAACTGCCAGACACCCTCGAGAAGGATACTGATGACGAAGAGAATAGACCTCCTGGACAACGTCAACGCTTCTCCTCCTCTCCTCCCCCTCCCTCCTCCTCTCCTCCCCCTCCTTCCTCCTCCTCTCCTCCTCCCTCCTCTCCTTCCTCCTCTCCTCCTCCCTCCTCCTCTCCTCCTCTCCCCCCTATGACTCCCCCTCCGGGACGGGAGTTGCCAGCGGATGGGGGGGAGGGGGACAAGGAGGACGGAGATGGTGACTTGGATGACAGTGAGTCAGACGAGGAGCTGAGCAGTTACAGTGTTCAGGAGGAGCAGAGTGGAGGGGAGGAGAGCGGGGAGGAGAACCATGCTGTACCCATTGTGGTCAGCGACTGTAGCGATGCTCATAATCTACGTAGTCTATTGAAGATGCCCATCCCGCTCACCGCCGAGTTGCTCGCTGATGACCTGCTGGAACGCAAGAAGAAAGTGGTGTCCTTTTTTGATGACGTCACCGTCTACCTGTTTGACCAGGTGAGTAGTGGTGGTGGTGGTGGTATTAGTAGTCACTCACAGATGAAGGGAAACAAGTTAAAGGGTAGTTCCTGCATTACAGTAGTTCACTAAGTTCATGGGAGTTTTTCTGCTTTTCTCATTAAATCTAATTCACAGACATGATATAGGAGAAATAAGGTATTTGTTGCCTAGGTAACTTGAATTAAATTAGACATTATACTGAACTGTATATATATATATATTTATTTATTCACTACATGACCAAAAGTATGTGGACAGCTGCTCGTCAAACATCTAATTCGAAAATCATGGTCATTAATATGGAGTTAGTCCCACCTTTGCTGCTATAAACAGCCCTCCACTCTTCCGGGAAGGCTTTCCACTAGATGTTGGAACATTGCTGCGGGGACTTGCTTCCATTCAGCCACAAGAGCATTAGTGAGGTCGGGCACTGATGTTGGGCGATTAGGCCTGGCTCGCAGTCGGCGTTCCAATTCATCCCAAAGGTGTTCAATGGGGTTGAGGTCAGGGTTCTGTGCTGGCCAGTCAAGTTCTTCCACACCGGTCTCGACAAACCATTTCTGTATGGACCTCGCTTTGTGCACGGGGGCATTGTCATGCTGAAACAGGAAAGGGCCTTTCCCAAACTGTTGCCACAAAGTTGGAAGCACAAAATCGTCTAGAATGTCATTGTATGCTGTAGCGTTAAGATTTCCCTTCACTGGAACAAAGGGGCCTAGCCCGAACCATGAAAAACAGCCCCAGACCATTATTCCTCGTCCACCAAACTTTACAGTTGGCACTATGCATTCGGGCAGGTAGTGTTCTCCTGGCAACCACCAAACCCAGATTCGTCCGTCAAACTGCCAGATGATGAAGCGTGATTCATCACTCCAGAGAACGTGTTTCCACTGCTCCAGAGTCCAACGGCGGCGGGCTTTACACCACACCAGCTGACACTTGGCATTGCGCATGGGGATCTCAGGCTTGTGTGCGGCTGCTCGGCCATGGAAACCCATTTCATGAAGCTCCCGACAAACAGTTATTGTGCTGACTATGCTTCCAGAGGACGTTTGGAACTTGGTAGTGAGTGTTGCAACCGAGGACAGATGATTTTTACGCACTATGCGCTTCAGCACTCGGCGGTCCCGTTCTGTGAGATTGTGTGTCCTACCACTTCGCGGCTGAGCCGTTGTTGCTCCTAGATGTTTCCACTTCACAATAACAGCACTTACAGTTGACCGGGGCAGATCTAGCAGGGCAGACATTTGATGAACTGATTTGTTGGAAAGGTGGCATCCTATGACGGTGACACGTTTAAAGTCATTGAGCTCTTCAGTAAGGCCATTCTACTGCCAATGGTTGTCTATGGAGGTTGCAAGGCTGTGTGCTCGATTTTATACACCTGCCAGCAACGGGTGTGGCTGAAATAGCCAAATCCACTAATTTGAAGGGGTGTCCACATACATTTGTATATATAGTATATATTCATTTGAAATGTACACTAGCCATAGCTGTAAACTCTATACCGTCCGTTTCCAGCAGAGTCCGACTAAAGAGCTAGCTGAGCATGGGTTCCCTCCAGGGGCTGAGACCAGCGGACAGGGTTCACAGGTCAAACAACCAACCTCTGATGACTCCTCAGACGGAAACATCTCAGAAGAGAGTAAGTACACTAGTCCAGAGTCCACTACTTACATTGATTGAAGTCAAATCGGCATTTAATTTCATAATAATTCTCAGATATGTAATAGGCAGATGTGTCCAAACTGCTTTCTACCTTCCTCCCTCACTCTCTCTTCATTTCTCCCTACCTTCTTTCCTCCCTCACTCGCTCTTCATTTCTCTCTCCCTTACTCTCTCTCTCTCTTCAGGTACAGGGTATGAGTGGGAGGATGACTTCTCCCTGTTGCCCATTCCCACTTCCTCATCCAAGATGGCTGCCTCCTCCTCAGGCTCAGCCCCCTCCACACCCAGCCTGCCCTCCACTTCCAAGGCCCCGGAGACCAAACCAGCGGTGCAGTACTCCCGCTTCACCGTCTCCCCTAGCCACGTGTCTCGCTTCTCCATCACACACGTCTCTGACTCTGACATGGGTTCTGTTCCAGGTGGGTCTGGTGTTTTCTTGACAGCGCACAAACATGTCTTGAGGAGAACTACTTGTATGGATTTTACATAGTGGATAATGATGCATTCTGTCTGTCTGTGCAGGGAGCAGTGAGGATGGGGACAGAGAATAATACAGAACCACAGCCACCAAGAAACTGCAGGAACTGCACCATATAAACTTGTTTGGGCCTCTTAACATGACTTTTGTTTAGTGCTTTTTGGACATCAGCTTTCTGAAAAGACAGTTACTCATTGTTTATGGACACTTTTTGAATGGAGTCTGTAAAAGGGATGTGAGAGTAGAGAATCAACTCCTATGAGAATATAGCAAATAATATATGAAGATAATATATCAACTCAGTAAAAAAAGAAACGTCCTCTCACTGTCAACTGCGTTTATTTTCAGCAAACTTAACATGTGTAAATATTTGTATGAACATAAGATTCAACAACTGAGACATAAACTGAACAAGTTCCACAGACATGTGACTAACATAAATTGAATAATGTGTCCCTGAACAAAGGAGGGGTCAAAATCAAAAGTAACAGTCAGTATCTGGTGTGGCCACCAGCTGCAATAAGTACTGCAGTGCATCTCCTCCTCATGGACTGCACCAGATTTGCCAGTTCTTGCTGTGAGATGTTACCCCACTCTTCCACCAAGGCACCTGCAAGTTCCCGGACATTTCTGTGGGGAATGCAAAGCGTTGAGATTGCCTGCAATGACATCAAGCTCAGTCCGATGATGCTGTGACAAACCACCCTAGACCATGACGGACCCTCCAGCTCCAAATCGATCCCGCTCCAGAGTACAGGCCTCGGTGTAACGCTCATTCCTTCAACGATAAACGCGAATCCGACCATCACCCCTGGTGAGACAAAACCGTGACTCGTCACTGCAGAGCACTTTTTGCCAGTCCTGTCTGGTCCAGCGACGGTGGGTTTGTGCCCATAGGCGACGTTGTTGCCGGTGATGTCTGGTGAGGACCTGCCTTACAACAGGCCTACAAGCCCTCAGTCCAGCCTCTCTCAGCCTATTGCGGACAGTCTGAGCACTGATGGAGGGATTGTGCGTTCCTGGTGTAACTTGGGCATTTGTTGTTGCCATCCTGTACCTGTCCCGCAGGTGTGATGTTCGGATGTACCAATCCTGTGCAGGTGTTGTTACACATGGTCTGCCACTGCGAGGACGATCAGCTGTCCGTCCTGTCTCCCTGTAGCACTGTCTTAGGCGTCTCACAGTACGGACATTGCAATTTATTGCCCTGGCCACATCTGCAGTCCTCATGCCTCCTTGCAGCATGCCTAAGGCACGTTCACGCAAATGAGCAGGGACCCTGGGCATCTTTCTTTTGGTGTTTTTCAGAGTCAGTAGAAAGGCCTCTTTAGTGTCCTAAGTTTTCATAACTGTGACCTTAATTGCCTACCGTCTGTAAGCTGTTAGTGTCTTAACGACCGTTCCACAGGTGCATGTTCATTAATTGTTTATGGTTCATTGAACAAGCATGGGAAATTTACAATGAAGATCTGTGAAGTTATTTAGATTTTTAGAAATTATCTTTGAAAGACAGGGTCCTGAAAAATGGATGTTTCTTTTTTTGCTGAGTTTACATACACAGAAGAATAGATATGTTACAAAGAACTTGTATGAAGGTAAAGACTTATGTTGCATTCAACATATTTTTGGGAGCGAAGAGACAATCTTTAGAATGAACATGTCACTTGTTTGCCACCATAGTCACTCATTAACAGCATGTTATGGAGAACAACACATTACCGCTTGTTACTTGGAAGACAGACGATAATGTTATTGATCAGCTGTTTAACATGGATATCAAAACAGAACACCCCACTCAGAGAAGGAAACAAAAATGGGGGAAAGGACACAATCCAGGCTTTTCACCAAAGGATCGATGTTGGAAAGTGACTGTACCAAGAGCATATCTTTGAGACATTAGTTTACCCGTCATCATCAAATATAAATGAAATATCACAAATAATGATCGAAGCAGAATTTTGTGATTCTAGTGTTTTCTCTAAGGAGTCGGACCACAACTGCATATGGGCCTTATGATTTCCAACAATGCGCGTGCCAGAGTCACTATTCCCCTCCATCTGTCAGTATGGGTCAGTATTCCCCTACATCTGTCAGTATGGGTCAGTATTCCCCTCCATCTGTCAGTATGGGTCAGTATTCCCCTCCATCTGTCAGTATGGGTCAGTATTCCCCTCCATCTGTCAGTATGGGTCAGTATTCCCCTCCATCTGTCAGTATGGGTCAGTATTCCCCTCCATCTGTCAGTATGGGTCAGTATTCCCCTCCATCTGTCAGTATGGGTCAGTATTCCCCTCCATCTGTCAGTATGGGTCAGTATTCCCCTCCATCTGTCAGTATGGGTCAGTATTCCCCTCCATCTGTCAGTATGGGTCAGTATTCCCCTCCCTCTGTCAGTATGGGTCAGTATTCCCCTCCATCTGTCAGTATGGGCCAGTATTCCCCTCCATCTGTCAGTATGGGTCAGTATTCCCCTCCATCTGTCAGTATGGGTCAGTATTCCCCTCCATCTGTCAGTATGGGTCAGTATTCCCCTCCATCTGTCAGTATGGGTCAGTATTCCCCTCCATCTGTCAGTATGGGTCAGTATTCCCCTCCCTCTGAAGGCCTGGGGCGTTATCGTTAGTGCACACTGTAACAAACAGTTACAGAGCGTTTCGCAACGCAAATGAGAATTTATGTTGGACAAATTCAGGTATGTCCTTCCCCGTTTGGTTCCTAGTAAATACACTCCAGATTTTACAGACATCCCTGAACCTAAACTATTGTGTGAATGCACCATATCATTGATGACGTTGAATAAATGCTGTACTTTTTAGGACTTCAAATCCATTTGCTTTGCAGCAGATAGTGTGGGTAAAACACAGCTTACATTGGTTTCGGTCTTATCCTCAGATGAAGGTGGCTGCCTGTCCTTACCCTCAGAGTTGAGCTTCACTGCACCACATACTGTGTGATGTGTCTGCTACTCTTGAGGTGAAGATCCTTTGTGATACGATCAAAAGAACTTGTACATTTCTGATTCCGATTCTGAAAATGGTACTGCAGTACAAGAACAACACGCTTACAAATACGTAGATACAGTAGCATATCATTTTTATAGGAACCTTTTGATGAAATAATCACTTTAAAAAAAATATATGAAACCTTAAAATGCAACTTAAAGAATGGAAGAACAAACAAATGATTTTCAAGTGGCTTCGGTAACATGTTGAAGATGAAATAATGAAATGACTTGTTGGAAGACCACAGAACTGAGAACTGGTTTAGTGTTAATGTATTGTTTGTGGTCTGCTGTGTGGTTAAGGGGTTGGTGATGTTACATGGATTAGTCAGTATATTGTTTTCATGATTTTAACAAATGGAAAATACATTTTGAATTTATGGACTTTTGCTATGTATGTGAAAATGTGTTTGCTATAGAAATGAAAGAGGATGGATGTGGGTGTAATGTAGAACGCATTCAGTCCAGTCAGTCTGGTAAGCTAATGCAGTATTACAGCAGTATCACTGTAGCATGGTCTCAGGTCCGTTTGTACGGTCTTGCCGACTCCAATGACCATAGGTTGGGCAAGACAGTACAAAACAGATCTGGGACCAGGCTAATATCACTGTAGGCATTAGCCTCAAAGAACCAGGTTGCCGATTCAGTTCATAGATATGGAATTACATAGTTATTTCTATGGTTTAATGATAGACTCTAGTCTCCATGCAGTAAGTGTGTTCTGTTGAGTGATTGTTAGCCTTTCTAGAGCTTTACTATTCTGTACTAGTTTAGTATCCATAGATCCATCTAGACCACCGTCTGTATGGACTATTTTTGTATCTCAAAAAATAAAAATTACAATTAAGAATGTCAAGAAATTACCTGGAATTTACATGTAAGTGAGAGTTAAAAGTACATGTATTTATGTTTTATTGTTGCCAAAGAGATGAATTTAATGAAGTCTTGGGGAAAACAGGAACATAGGATATTTGATCTAAATTGTTTTAACCTGCTAAGTGGTGAGACGATAGCCTGGGTACCAGTCTGTTTGTGCCATCATGCCAGGCTAGTGAGACGAAAGGGATGTGATGACGAGCAATGTTTGGCCTTGCTGTGATTTAAATGAACAGGACTAGTTTAGGGATGCTGTCCGTAAGATGTGCCCTGGTCGTGATTTAAATGAACAGGACTAGTTTAGGGATGCTGGCAGTAAGATGTGCCCTGGTCGTGACTTAAATGAACAGGACTAGTTTAGGGATGCTGTCCGTAAGATGTACCTTGGTCGTGACTTAAATGAACAGGACTAGTTTAGGGATGCTGTCCGTAAGATGTGCCCTGGTCGTGACTTAAATGAACAGGACTAGTTTAGGGATGCTGTCCGTAAGATGTGCCCTGGTCGTGACTTAAATGAACAGGACTAGTTTAGGGATGCTGTCCGTAAGATGTACCCTGGTCGTGACTTAAATGAATAGGACTAGTTTAGGGATGCTGGCAGTAAGATGTGCCCTGGTCGTGATTTAAATGAACAGGACTAGTTTAGGGATGCTGGCAGTAAGATGTGCCCTGGTCACAAATTAAATGAACAGGAATAGTTTAGGGATGCTGGCAGTAACATGGGCCCTGGTCATGATTTAAATGAACAGGACTAGTTTAGGGATGCTGGCAGTAAGATGTTCCCTGGTTGTGATTTAAATGAACAGGACTAGTTTAGGGATGCTGGCAGTAAGATGTGCCCTGTTCGTGATTTAAATGAACAGGACTAGTTTAGGGATGCTGGCAGTAAGATGTGCCCTGGTCGTGATTTAAAACGAACAGGACTAGTTTGGGGATGCTGTCAGTAAGATGTACCCCACCCCACTCTACTTTCTGTACCTTATTATGAAATATAAATAAAGTCTGTTTTACACATCAATGTGCGTCTCATGTATTCCTTGGTACACGCACACGAGCAGGCACGAGTGCACACACACACAAACGCACCAAAAGGAATGAGATAGAACGCGTTCTACAATTATTTCTTATAGCACAGTACAAACACACTGGTAATATATGTAATATACTCTGCAATATGTTATTTTCCCTATATTTCA